TGTGCGGGCTCACCATCCGAAACTGTGAAGCAACTGTGAAGCGTATAGTTCTTCTCCTGCCTAAGGGTACGTACAATGTTCACATATCCGTGTTTCGACCATCACTCACAATATTACATCCTGTTTTCCTCCACTGGCTTCAACTCGTCATGATGTGAATCACCGATAGATGTTGTCCCAAATATTCGGATGGTGAGCCCGCACAAGCAACTTCCTTTCTCGGACGCAACCCGCGCGTTGGCTCTCGGCCGCTTCCGACGTGCCGCCGCGCTCTCGACTTTGCACAATCGCTCGACTTCGCCACAATTTCGCCTCGGCCGCTTTGCTGTTTTGAAATATGAGATATAATTTACCCGTAGCACACTCTGCCTGCCTGAAACAAATTGAACCATCCTTGATACCTGATAACTTGAACTCTCGAGAGCTATGTCTACAAACACTCCCTCTGGTTCACAGCACACCAGCAAAAAGTCCCACAAAAACCCTCGCAAAGACCCCTTTATCATCGTAACACCCAGAGAGGCTAGCGGCAGACATGTCGATCTCTCGTCGCGTCGCGTCGCGGCCCAAATCTACCTCGACCACCTTCGGCCCACTGCACATCAACGCTCCCAAATTGAAGATTTATACGAAGCGGGCCACGCGTTCGAGCACCTGTATCGCTGTTTGGACCAGGAAGACCAGCTGAGCGCTGCAGCTCTCCTTGCCTCGTTGGGATTGGACACGGACACGCGTGAATCTGTAGCGAACCGCTGGCATACACGATGGAGCCAGCCTAGCGGTCAGAATGCAGAAAAGACGTGGAGAGTGTTATATCAGTGGTGCGTCCGAAGAAATTGTAACCTGAAGAATGGACGTACTAACAGATATATAGTGCGTGCGGGTACAACCACGCCGCCGCAGGAACAAAGAATCGAAAGAACCCACTTCCTTTCACCGAATGTCCTGCACACGTTGAACTCACGTACGTTCCGGAGACACAGAAGATCCTTCGCATTCGAGGCCTGGTACAACACAATGAGGCGTGTCTATCCGCTGAGTACGCTTCACTCCCCACTCGACCTCTTCATCCGTCTGTCTTTGCGGTCGCTCTCCGGCAGCTTGGTGAAGGAGTCAATCTGGATGGCATAATGGAGAAGAACAAGGCCATGTTCCGTCAGTGCTTATACCCCGAACAGCCCACTGATCTGCGGAAGAGTGGGTCCGCTTACCGCTGGCTCATTAAGCGGCATGATACACGTTCCCTGTATCGTCAGTATAATCGCCTTCATGGCGTGAACGTTACGGAAGCGGCCCATATCAACGTAGACGAGTGGTTGGACAAAGACTCACCCCGCTATAACGCCGAAATCGCCGCCGCTGTGTTCCACTATTCGGCTCGGGCACAGGTGGGAGACCGGTTCGAAGTCTGTATTGCAACGAAGGCAATGAAGGAGGCGGCGTGGGCGCACGGGCACAAGAGTCAAATTATGCTGGATGGGACATTCGGAGTCAGCGAGAAGAAACTACTTCTCTTTATTCTCATGGGCTTGGATGAGAAGCGAAGAGGCGAACCTTTGGCTTTATTTCTGTTCTCCGCTCCATCCGGTAATCGCCACACAGCCGCTGGCTACAACACGGAGATCCTCGCGAAGCTTCTGTCGCAGTGGCGCGATACTCTCGGAAAGCGTGATGGCGAGGCATTCATTCCAGCGGTCGCCATCACCGATACAGATCTCATGGAGCGAAATGCTCTCGCGCGCGTCTTTCCGAGCATTTGGCTTTTAATCTGCAAATTTCACCTCCGTCAATCGTGGCGAAACCATCGAAACAAGCTGTTACGGGGGAAATCACCTGTACACATGTCAATCAAGGCCCGGATGGCACGAATCGAAGCGGAACTCGTGCTGACAACGGACTTTGGCCAAGCGAAGGAGTTACTGGCGAAGGAGAGGGCTTTCCTAGAGGGGATGGAACAGGACCATCCGTCAGTGGCAAAGAACGGGCTGGACCATCTTGCATACCTTGGCGAAGGTTATTGGATGAGGGACGAAGCACTGTGGAGAAGTTGGTCCGAATATGGTCGCCGTTGGGCAGCCATTCTGCTCCAATGCGAGATCGAGGGAGTACTCACCACGACGAACCATCTCGAGTCGTTCAACGGTATTCTCAAGCGTCGACATCTCCGTCGTTGGCAGCGTGGTAACCGCCGCCTCCGGATCGACATCCTAATCAAGCTATTGATTCAGAAAATCTTACCCGCCATCTTCGAGCAGCGCACTCTCGAAAGAGAAGAGGACGAGCGATGGGACCATCTATTGCTCTCGCTTCCTGGGGGCGCTGCTCTTGTGAAAGGCCTTCGCGATAAGTCGCGCGCAGCGTCTCTACCTCCCGTCGCATATCTAGCCACAGACGAAACTCGTCAGCAATCAGCAATCGACCTTCTCCAGCGCAATCAGATCAGTCAACCCACATATGAAGAACACACTCATACCTTCCTCTTCTCTTGCTACTCTACATATGCCACCATATACGACCGAAACCCATCCTTATACTCCATCACCCTCTCTCTCGATGGATCCGCATCGTGCTCGTGTCCGGACTTCGCCCGCATTGGAGGAGCATGTAAACATCTCCGCGCAGCGATACTTCGGCTGGATGCTTTCCGCGCTACACATCCGCACACACCTATTATCAGACTACCGGCATCCGAGGAAGAAGCGCGAGCGCGCCAAGCCACGAACCTTACGAACACATTCAAGAGTTCTTCAGCACGCATGGCCCATGAGACCTCTCCCGCCGATCCAGTATCCCATAGTCGCGGTGTGGCTGCTTCGGTGATTGATGCAACAGTCCAAGAAGCGAATGACACCCTTTTTGAGGAGGTGGAAGGAGGCGAGGATGGCGCTGAGGAAGAGGACGATGTGGAAAGTGATATGGAGAGCGTGGCAACGGACGCTGGGGAGGAGGACGAGTTTTTGTTCACGGCGCTCGACGAGCATGGGAATGCTCGTCGGGCCATCGAACAACAGACGCTGGCCCGCGTTCTATTCGATCTCACGAGTGTGGCGCCGAAGCTTGGTCAGTTGGGCGGCTACTTGAAGGAGTTAGGAGGGGCACTCTCACCGGACGACATGCAGAAAGCCGCGGATGCTCGAGAACACATCAGAGTGCTTACCGACCAGCTGGATAGGCTCATGAAGATTGACAACAGTGACGTCGGGTCCGGAGCCTCAGCCTCAGCCTCAGCATTACCAGCAAAGCCTGTTCAGAGCACGCCGGTATTCCCTCTCGCAAAGGAGACCCAGAGTATGACTAGCAGCAGTACAGAGGGTTGCCACAGTGGCCCAAAGCTGTCCAACACGGAACGACTTCGGCTCAAACGCGCCGCATTAGAGCCCCCATCACCGGAGAAGGGAGCCACGAAGAGGCACCAGTCGTATTCAAAGGATTAGATTACATATATTATTATTTCCCAGATTTATACAGGTAGAACACGAGAGCAAGAGTAGATAGGTAACAATACAAAGAAACTAGAGTGAGCGGCCGAGGCGAAATTGTGGCAAAGTCGAGCGATTGTGCGAAGTCGAGAGCGCGGCGGCACGTCGGAAGCGGCCGAGAGCCAACGCGCGGGTTGCGTCCGAGAAAGGAAGTTGCTTGTGCGGGCTCACCATCCGAAACTGTGAAGCAACTGTGAAGCGTATAGTTCTTCTCCTGCCTAAGGGTACGTACAATGTTCACATATCCGTGTTTCGACCATCACTCACAATATTACATCCTGTTTTCCTCCACTGGCTTCAACTCGTCATGATGTGAATCACCGATAGATGTTGTCCCAAATATTCGGATGGTGAGCCCGCACAAGCAACTTCCTTTCTCGGACGCAACCCGCGCGTTGGCTC